TGGATTAATAAACTGTGGTATTTGTATACCATGGAGTACTATTCAGCTTTAAGAAACAATGGTGATATAGCACCTCTTATATACTCCTGGAAAGCACTGGAATACATTCTACTAAGCGAGGTATCCCAAGAATGGAAAAACAAGCACCACATGTACGCACCATCAAACTGGTATTAGCTGATCAACATTTAAGTGCACATATAAGAATAACATGTATTAGATGTTGGACAGGGGGAGGGGGAAGAGGGGAGGAGAGAGCAGGGGACGGGCATATGCACAAACAATGAGTGCGATGCACACCTCCGGGGGAATGGACACACTTGGTGCTCGGACTTGTTGGGGAGGGAGGGTAAGGGCATCATACGTAACCTAATCATCTGTACCCCCATAACATGCTGAAATAAAAAAAATAAATAAAAGATGTCCTAAGATTTTGGAGATCATTCTGAAATATTTAAAGGCGATTTTCCTCAAAATAAGAGGAGTTTGGGAGATGGTTGTGGTGCTGTATGGATGGGATAGGTGACACACGTTGATCCTTCTTATGGCAGGAGATGGGCACATGCAGATGCATTGAAAGTACTCTATAGACTTGTTTCTATAGAATATATGTGTGTATATGTGAAACATCCTCCATAATACATTTTTTTGAACATTTGGATGTCTCACATCCTGGCCCAGTTCCTGACACTCAGGAAGCACTTATTCTCTGTTTGGTGACAGAATAAATCAGAGGGGAGTGCAGTGAGTGGTCCCTGATTTTCTGTCTGTGCAGCTAGGGGAGGTTGAATTGCTCAGGTTCAAAGAAACACAGAATTCTGCTGCTCCAGACAACAGAGGGCTTGGTCAATTCTGATTACTCTTCCAACGCATATGCACAGACTCCATGCTAACCCAAAACACCACGGCGAGGAAGATAAGCTCCCTGCCATCATCAGGCTAGTAGTGATGGATCAGTAAAAGTCTAGCGCCCAGACCTCCTGACTCACCAGCCAGTGCCCTAAAAACCATATTCTTAAGTTTGCTTACGAATAGAATAATGAGAAGGCATCAACTATTTCCGGAGTTCCCAAGCTCAATCTTGGCACTGTATTCCCAGAGCAGCCTGCTGGAATGTCTGAGATGTCTAGAGAGCTATGACTATGCTTTGGAAGAGTCATTGACCACTGGAGAGTACAAGGGACCTGGCAGAGGACTGTAGCCACAGACAGGACCAGGAAGACCTGTGCTCTCCTCTGTCCTCAATGGAATGGCTTACACCAACAGAGGTGAGGACTTCTTAGGTCCTCACCCTGCACCTTTACAATTACCCCTGAGGAAACAGCAACCAATGCTGAACACAAAGGAATGTAGAAACATTTGTTAAAGTTGGTGATAAACTCAGAGAAATACAGGGAACAGCACAGAAAAGATGAAAGGAGTAAAAAGCCTATGCTAATATAAAATAGGGGTAAAATGAATTATGGCAAATCCATACCAAAATATATAGTTAAAAAGGATAGAGGATAGTTTACAGGTTGCTGTTAAATAAAGTAAGAAGCAGTTGAAACCTAAACAAAACATGATAACACTCTAGTTTTTAAAAAGTCATATATGCATAGAAAAATGTCCATCAGGGCATACATCACATAATTAATGAGGCTTATCTTATGGTGTTTTGACTGTGTGTAGCTATAGTTTTCCTTTTACTAGTCTATGCTTTATAAACTTTCACAATTAATACTTTTTAATAGGAAATTTGTACAAATAAAAAGACTTACAAGAAAATGACTGTACAACACATGATTATTATATACACTAAGAGATGTCAGAATATACTAGAACCAGCCTGGTTCACGGTGGGCTTCCTTTCCAAGGGGCCTTGTACCTTTCAGGGCGGAACTCCTCAGGCTCTGGCCAGTACTTTGGGTCTTGGTGAAGGACGTAAGTTGGTATCATCACCACTACCCCTTTGGGAATGAACACTCCCTTGATTTCAGCATCTTTCTTACAGACCCTCTCAAGTCTTGCAGCAATGGGGAATAATCTGAGAGTTTCATTCACCACCATTTCAAGATATTCCATCTGTACCAGGGCGTCATAGGTGGCAGGTGTCTGGGAACAAAAAAAAAACCCCATATTTTAATAAATTGAGACTTGGAATTAACTGTCAATGCAGTAGAGTGAGCATTATTGAACTGTTAGGGGATGAAAAGAAACATTTTGTCAAAGGAACTTCACATCCTTAGGACATTTTAATAACTATGAAGAGCTTGATCTGCTCTATGTCCCATTAGGCATGTGGAGATATTACAGATATGGGAGACCTGTGGGGACATCCCCTACCTGGGGACTGAAATCCTGAGCATCACCACATAGTGCCTTTTCTTCTCTCATTAACAAATGTGAAGAAAGGAGGGTGAACATTACATTTCACGACAATATGTCAAAGTCGATGTCACCTTGCAAAAACGAGGCCACATGTGTACCCAGGAAAGGAAAAGAGCAGGTAAAGAGCAAATCCCCCTGTTCCACATAAGGCTTTTTAGTTGGAAATCCTGCTTGGTAACCCTTTGATTATATATATAACATGTTGCTAGAAAGACTATAACAAGCTCTATAAGTAATTTCAGGATAAACTAATCTATTTCTACCCCAAACAGGATAAAAGAAGGTTAAGTTTGGAAGCTCCTAGGGTATACATTTTAAATTCTAGTAAAACTTATAAAGGGGATAGAAATCCCACGTTCATTCCCATCCCCTCTTGCTCAAACAGTCTACTACTTGCTGCTTAGGGCTTGACTATCAGCCCTAAAAAAGGTCCCTCTGTGTTCACCTCTCTGGCAGACCAGCCTTGCCAGCCCCAGAGGCCAGGTCTCTTCACACCACAAAGGATCCCAGTTGGGTAGAGATCTGAAAAGAGTGTGGGTGATATGTCCCTAGCACTTCGTCTGGTGTTTGGAGGCAATGGTGTAGAGGTTAAGAGATTCCATGGGAGCCAGAAACCCTGTTTCCTACTTGGCTTCTTCACCACTAGCTCCATGACTGCAGCATGAGACAGGTGCTGGGCAGAGCTGGGTCCACCTGCCCAGTGTACCTGAGGCCAGGATGATCAGACAACAGCCAGACAAAAGCCCGCTGAGCTATCTATCCAGACATGAGCCAAAAATGCTTATTGTTAGATGCCACTAAGATTTTCTGGATTTTTTTTTTTTGCATTATTGTGGTAACTGATAATAGATGCACGAGGACGAGCACTGTTTTCGAAATGTCTTGTATTTCTGGGAGCAGCATCCAGTACCTATATTTCTGCCTTTCTTTTCCTCTTTAGAGCCTTCCTAAGTAGTGTCTGGGAAAAAATCAAGGCTTACACGTTTGGAATAACTCCACCTAGGAAGCGATGAGCAGGCATTCTTGCTAAGGCTTCACCTCCTCCCTCCCTCTCCACATATCATCCTCTCACCTTATTAGGCAAAGCTGCATCAATCTCCTTGTGCAGTTTCTGCTGGACATCAGGGTGAGTGGCCAATTCATACATAATGAAGGAAAGAATACTGCTAGTGGTCTCGTAGCCAGCAAATATGAAGATAATTGCCTGGGCCATGAGCTCCAGATCAGACAGAACTGAAAGGAGAGAGAGAATATGTTAGGTAAAGCAAGTCAATGTTGAGGATCACAGTTTACAGGAAGAAAAATCCAGGTGAGCTCCCAAATCCCTAGCGAAAAAAGTGAGAAAGTAACTTAGAGTCACACTGGGAGTGGTTTTCATTCTGATGTCTGTGTTGTAGAGCCAGAACAAGGCAACATTGTGTTAGCCCAGTTTATCTCGAGGTGTATATGATTGTGGCCCATCCACTCATTATGCCATCCTCACCACTAACACATCTGGGCTATTTCCAGAGAGCATTTCTGTCTGACATACTCATTGTTATGGGTATGTCCCTTTATAAGCATAAAAGTACTTCAGATGTAAGTAAAATACAGGGGAACTTTGTGTGCCAGTAAAAATTTAAACTATATTAGTTACAACAGAGCTTGAAAATTTTTAAGAATTTGCAATACTGAGGCTTCAGGGAAAATTGAAGGATATTTTCTCTACGCATCGTTGAGGGAACTTAAGGGAACAATATTGGGCTACAGATAAACTCTTGCTACTCCAAGTGTGGTCCACGGACCTGCAGCATCAACAGGATCTGGCAGCTTATTACAAATGCAGAATCTAAAGCCCCATCTAGACCTACAGAATCAGTACCTGAACTTTCAGGAGATGTGATGTGTGTACGAGAGCATGGATTTTACCTGTGAGAGGCATCACGTACTAGAAGATCTAGGGTACAATTTTTCAAAATGGACTATCTTAGGATGTACAGAAATAGACAAAAAGCTCAAAGGGTGGTGATTGACCCTAGTCTGATGAATGGCACTAAAATAGCAGAAGCCTTTATGATTACAAGTTGGCCTCCTCCTTCATTGTTTCTGTGGAGAGAAGCAGAGCACGGTCAGGGTTTGGACTGTTTCACTGGGACAGGATTAGGATCTTTATATACCCAAATGACTGAAATACATATGGTGCCCACCCCACCCATGTAATTCATTACTAAAAACAATACAAAATGAGTGTGAGAAGTGTCTGCACAGTTGTGATTTTCCAGTGATCATTCTGTGATGCTTCAGTGGGTAAATTCAACCATCAAATTTTTAGGCAGTTCGCATCAACCCCGTGAAACTGACTTGAACTTGTGCTGTAATCACAAAGTTTAGAGCTCTGCTGTTCAATGAGATCACCACTAGACACATGTACCTGTGTAAACTTAAATTTTAATTAATTAAAATTAAATATATGTTAAAATTCTTCTTGAATGGCTCTAGCCACCTGTTCAGTGCCCAGTAGCCCCATGTGTGCAGTGGTTACTGTAGAGAACAGGGAAACAATAGACTATCCTTCATCACAGAAACTTGTATTGTTATAGATAGATTGATGATAGATAGGTAGAGAATGGATACACAGATGATAGAATAGATGGACACATAGACACATGTACTGTAGTGTGCTGGGGCAAGTCCATCCTTGCTCTGTAGAGCCAATTGTAAGTATTCAGGACTTTTGTGAGATGGTTGTTAAACTTTTGAAGCTTGACACTGACCATGATCCTTATTTTGCCACCATCATAGTTATTATAATTTAAGTCAGAAGAAGCCATTGATGGTGAAACTAGTTGGTGAAACGTCAGGAGGAATAGGATATTTACATAGTCTAAAATCTTTCCCCATAGGTTACTTACTCATTATGAAGGGAAAAATAAATCTTTACAGTAGATTGAGCTTGTGAGCACACTTTCACCAAGTATTCGTAGTTAAAATCACCCTTACTGGGCCAGTGTGCCTCCTGATTTGATGTTAGATACAAATTTCTTGGCAGAGGTTCTGACTCAGTGGATCTGGAGGAGGCTGAGAACCTGCATTTGTTCTCATGTAGGTGATCCACAGACCCCTGGCTGACTTTGAGGCAAGAGAGGCTTGTTCAGGGATTCCCTTCCTGCTTTGAACAAGGCTATTCCTGTGTGCTTCTAGAAGGTGCATCAAGTACCATTTCTAATATTTAAATGTGTGTTATTTTGCAGTGTGACAGAAATTCTCCTCTTCCTGGAAAGCTTCCTGCACATTTTTAGAATGAGACCCTCCCTCTGGGCTTCCTCATGAGGAATTGCCAGAAGTCCTCCTTGGTTACCTTTATGCGACTCAGTTTCTTTTGAATTCTGGGAGTCGATCATCAGCTGAAGGAAATCTACTCGGTGCTGGAAGCAGAAAGAGAAATTTCAGTGACAGAAAGTGACTCGTGAAGGCAGAAATACATTAGGAGTGCAGTCCTCAACCTCCCTTCTGACAATATGGACCCCTGAAGTCCAGAGTCTGATAGGTGTTTCCTGAGTGACCAGTGAACAAAAAAATCCATCTAAGACCCTGGAGGGCAGGATGTTTCCTGGCAGAATTCCAGCTATCATGTGCAACTCCTTTTTGGTCTTTGTCCTCCCTGATCCTTTGTTCCTCTGGCTTTTGGACACTGTTTCCTGGCCAAAGAGTTGCCTGCTCCTTTTCCCACCACACCTGCTTGCTCAGGACTTAAGTTCTTTTTGTTCTGAGGCCTTCATTCTGAACCAACGGTCACATAGATTAATTTTCTAACATTTTGAGAGCTTTTTTGCAATTTTCTTTGTGGTAGCATCTTCAAGTGCTCCACCCCCCCAGAAATCTATACAATCTTTAGTGACATCTATGTATCCAGTTTCACCTCTGCGACTTGTAGGCATCGTTGGCCTGGTCTGGAGTCCTCATGACGCAAGGCTGGGTCAGCCAGCTTGCAGCCTCAAGGCCTAGAGAAGACCTCAGCCCACCTCAGGCATTGAGCATGCTTATATTTAACATAGGCTATACTAAGCACATACCCAGAGAGGGCTTTCCATGGGAGAATGTCTAAAATAACTTGAAAGGATTCCTTACCAGGCTGAAATGTTTGGCAATTAAAATAATGGTAAAATCATTGTTAAAGAGTAATCATTTTCCTCTGACAATTTATTGAAGTGAAGTGGTTAAATTTTTTCTCACCAACATTTATGCTATGACATAGTAATTATGTACCTGATATTAAATTTTAAATGCAGTCTGCCTCACTCATTCTTATAACTGCCTCCCATCCTCCACCTTCTTCATTCCTACAAAATGAATTCTTCTTTTGTTCTTTCCTTAAGTTTTCTGTCTTCCTTTGAAAAATACACTTAAATGCCCAAATTATAAGAATATGATTTCCCAAATTATCCCAAAGTGAACATTTTCATGTAACCATCACCAGATTTTACCTTTTGTTTATCTTGGAGGCGACTTTCTTTCATCCTTTTTACAGAGTTTTTTAAAAAGTTTGTAGTATCTTTTGGAAACATAGAGATATTTAATGCTTCAAAAATTGGGGTAAGGAATGGAAAGAGTGCTATAAGGGATAAAAAAAGAAAACCATCATGTAAACACAAAATTTACCTGGAGCAATTATAATTTTTTCTATGAGTGTGAAAAGTAATAGACTTCAGGGTTCTCAAGCAGGAACCATTCTCTCTATGACCTCGGCTCATCTTCCAGGCCAATGGCTGAGCAATGGCACATCCAAACTTAGGGGCCACCACTGTAGCTGTGAGATCAATGACCTCTCCTGCATTTTGGGTGACAGGATTAAGTCAATAGGATTAAATTCCCTGACCTCTTAGTCCTTATACAAGACTATGGTCTGCTGCTTTAATTAATTGTGCTTTTCATGAAATAGTAGTTGTGATAGAAATAATATATCCAGTCTACGGCCATACCACCCTGAACGCACCCGATCTCATCTGATCTCGGAAGCTAAGCAGGGTCAGGCCTGGTTAGTACTTGGATGAGAGAAATAATATATCCTATGTTCTTCATCTACCATGGGATGAAACTACAAATCAGTAACTAAAAGAAATTGGGGAAACTCAGAAGCATGTGGAAATTAAATAATGCACTTCTAAATAATCAATGGGTCAAAGCAGAATTAAAAGGGCAGTTAGAAATTTTTTTGTACGAATCAAAATGATGACATGATATGCCCAAACGTAAGGAATATAAGAAAAGCAGTCATCGAAGCAAAATTTATAGCTTAAATACCTAAATTTATAAAAAAAAGATCTAAAATCAATAATCTAACTTTACACCATAAAGTAAAGGTGAAAAAAGTGAAAGTGAAAAGTAAAGTGAAAAAAGAAGAGCAAAATAAACATAATTCGAGTAGTAGGAAAAACTATAAGAATAACTAAAGTATATACTAATGACATAGACACTTAAAACAATAGAGAAAAATTAATAAAACAAAAAGATCATACTTTGAATTATATCATCAAAATTAGCAAACCTTTAGCTAGATTGACCAAGAAAAAAGGAGAGATGACTTATGTTAATAGTCTCAGAATTGAAAGAAGGGAATTGACTACTGACATGAACACAATTATATAAAGAGCAAAGCAATGAAGAAGAGAGTAAAAAATAGAGAAATATCATTGAAATCATTTGTAGGAAGTGTCCAGAGTAAGCAAATCTAGACAGACAGAAAATAGATTAGTGGTTGCATAGAATGATGGGGGTGAGGGGTTGGTGATAGCTAAAATTACAAGTGTCTACAATTTGACAAGAAGACATAACAATTTTAAATATTTATACGCCCAATGCAGGTGTGCCCAGATTCCTGAATCAAATCCTACTTGATCTAAACAAAATGAAATACAACAGTACTATAATAGTGGGGGACTTTGACACCCTACCAACAACAGGACAGATCATCCAAACAGGAAATAAACAAAGAAACAATGGACTGAAACAGAATTCCAGATCAAATGGGCCTAACAGACATTTACAGAACTCTCTACCCAAAAACCACTGAACATACATTCTTCTCATTAGCTCATGGGACATTCTCTAAGATGGATCACATCCCATGCGACAAAACATGTTTCGACAAATTTAAAAACTAGAAATTCTATGGTATATCTTCTCAGACCACAGTGGAATAAAATTAGAAATCAATTGGAATAGAAACATTCATCTTTACACAAAGTCATGGAAACTAAACAACCTACTGCTGAATGATTATTGGGTCAAGGATGAAACTAAGATGGAAATCAAAAGATTCTTTGAACTAAATGATGAAGGGGACAGAAGTTATCAAAATCTTTGGGACACAGCTAAAGGATCCCTGAGAGGAAAATTCATACCCTTAAATGCCTACATCCAAAATATAGAAAGATTACCAATCAAATATCTAATGAATTCACTCAAAGAACTGGAAAAACAAGAACAAACCAATCTCATACCCAGAAGAAGAAAAGAAATGACCAAGATCAGAGCAGAACTAAATAAAATTGATAACAACACAACTATTTGAAAGATTAATGAAAGAAGAAGCTGGTTCTTTGAAAAAGTAAATAAAATTGACATGCCTCTTGCTAGATTAACCAGAAGCACAAAAGAAATGACTCCAATAAACTCAATTAGGAATGGAAAAAGAGAAATTACAACTGATACCACAGAAATACAAGATATCATCTCCGAATACTATAAAAATCTCTATGCACATAAACTTGAAAATGTTGAGGAAATGGACAAATTCTTAGAATCACACAGTCTCCCTAGGCTCAATTAGGAAGAAATAGAACTGACCAACTGAACAGACCAATATCAAGTAGCAAAATTGAAGCAGCAATAAAATCCTTCCTAAAAGAAATAGTCCTGGACTATTTCTAGATGGTTTCACACCCAAATTCTATCAGACTTACAAAGAAGAAGTGCCTATCCTACAGAAATTATTCCCCAATATTGAGAGGGAATGAATTCTCCCCAACACGTTTCTGAAGCCAACTTTACTGTGATATCAAAACCACAAAAGGACTCAACAATAAAAGAAAACTATAGAACAACATCCCTTATGAATATAAATGCAAAATCCTGAATAAAATCCTAGCAAATAGAATTTAGCTGCTCAAGAAAAAAATAAGCCATCATGACCAAGTGGGCTTCATCCCAGAGATGCAGGGATGGTTCAATATGCAAATCTATAAATGTAATTCACCACATAAACATAACTAAGAGTTAAGAACATATGATCTTCTCAACAGATGCAGAAAAAGCATTCTACAAAATTCAGCACCCTTTTATGATAAGGAAACTTCACAAAACAGGTATAGACGGGACTTACTTCAAAATGATAAAAGCCATATATGACAAACCCACAGCCAACATCATACCGAATAGGAAAAATCTGAAAGCATTCCTGCTTAGAAGTGGAACCAGACAAGGTTGTGCTCTATCATCACTTCTATTCAACATAGTGCTGGAAGTCTTAGCCGGACAACAAAAGGAAATTAAGGGCATCCGAATGGGAGCAAAGGAGGTCAAACTACTGATCTTTGCAGATAATATAATCTTATATGTAGAAATCCTCAAAGATTCTGCCAAGAGACTACTGGAATTGATAAAGAAGTTCAACAAAGTCCCTGGTTAGAAAATCAACATAAGCAAATCAGTAGCATTCATATACAGTAACAACAGTCAAACTGAGAACCAAATCAAAGACTCAATGGCTTTCACAACAGAGAAAATAAAATACACAGGAATACATTTAACTAAGGAGGTAACAGACCTGTACAGGGAGAGCTACGAAACCCTGAGGGAGGAAATAGCAGAGGACATAAGGAGATGGAAAACCAAACCATGGTCATGGATCGGCAGAATCAACATTGTTAAAATGTCTATACTACCCCAAATGATCTACAGATTCGAAGCAATCCCTATTAAACTATGAACATAATTTTTCAGAGATCTAGAAAAAATAATTCAACACTTTGTGTGAAACCAGAGAAGACCCCGTATAACTAAAGCAACCTTAAGCAAAAAGAACAAATTGGGAGGCATCAATTTACCAGGATATAGTAATCAAAACAGTATGATACTGGCACAAGAACAGAGACAAACACCAATTGGAACAGGACTGAGGACTCAGACATAAAACCATCCTCATTATAGTCATCTGATCTTTGAGAAAGAAGACAAAAACATACATTGGGGAAAAGAATGCTTATTCACTAAATGGTGCTGGGAAAATTGGATAGTCACATGTAGAAGACTGAAACAGGATCGACACCTCTCATCGACACCTCTCTCACCACTCACAAAAATCAACTCATGATGGATAACAGACTTAAACTTAAGGCATAAAACTATATGAATTCTAGAAGAAAACTTTAAGAAAACTTATATAGATATTGGCCTAGGGAAAGAATTTATGAAGAAAACCCCAAAGGAATCAGAGCATCAACAAAAAACAATCAATGGGACCTGATGAAATCAAAAATTTCTGCACAGCCACAGAAGGTATCAGTAGAGCGAATAGATAACCTACAGAAGGAGAGGAAATATTTGCATGCTATACATCTGATAAAGGGCTGATAACTAGAATCTATATAAAACTCAGGAAAATCAGCTAGTAAAAATCGAACAACCCCATTAAAAAGTGGGCAAAGGTCATGAACAGAAACTTTTCAAAAGAATATAGACTAAAGGCCAAGAAACATACGAAAACGTGCTCAATATCTCTAATCATCAGGGAAATGTAAATCAAAACCGCAATGAGGTATCATTTAACTCAAGTGAGAATGGCTTTTATCAAAAAGTCTGAAAACAACAAATGCTGGTGTCAATTTGGAGATATAGGAACACTCATACACTGCCGGTGGGACTGAAAACTAGTACAACCTCTATTGAAAGTAATATAGAGATACCACAAAGAACTAAAAGTAGAACTAGTATTTGATCCAGGAATACCACTACTGGGCATCTATCCTAAGGAAACAAAGACATTATATAATAATGACATCTGCACTCAAATGTTTATAGCAGCACAATTGACAATTGCAAGTATGTGTAAACAACCCATGTGCCCATCAATACATGAGTGGATTAATAAATGTGGTATATGTATACCATGGAGTACTACTCAGCCACAAAAAACAATAGTGAACTAATACCTCTTGTATTATCCTGGATGGAGCTGGAACCCATTCTCTGAAATGTCACAAGAATGGAAAAACAAGCACCACATATACTCACCACCAAATTGGTACTAATGATCAATACTTATGTGCACATATCGAAGTAATATTCATCGCGTGTCAGGCAGGTGGGAGAGAGAGGAGGAGATGGGTATATTCACACATAATCGGTAAGGTACACACTGTCTGTGTGATGGGCATGCGTGTAGCTCTGACTTGGGTGATGCCAAGGCAATATATATAACCTAAACTTTTATACCCCCATAATATTCTGAAATAAAGAGAAGAAAGATAAAAAAAACAAAAAAATAATGTTAAGAAAAAAATAATTACAGGTCCCTGAGTTGATGAAAATATTTTAAAGTTGACAATGGTGATGGCTACACATATATTTGAATGTATTATTATCAACCACTGAAATGTCCATTTTAAGTGTGTAAATTATACGGTGTTTGAATTACATCTCTATATAGTAGTTATTTTAAAAAAGAGAGAAAAAGAAATAATAGTCCACATACTTATTGAGAGAAAGAGTGGATCTAAGAAATCAACTTTTAAGAGCTTCTTGGTCTTTTCCACAAAGGGATCTTGTGGGTTGTTGAGGGAATCAATGTTCACTCCAAATGATGTGGCCGTGATCACATCCATGCTGTAGGCCCCAAAGATGCTGAGTAGAGAAAGACATTGAAAATTGAAATTAGCACTGCTTCACCATTCTTCTGGTACACATGAAGCAAGATATATGTGTAAATCGTGTGAACTATCAAGAACCATAGCCTTTCAGACTACCTGATGGATCATCTCCCATCAAACTCACTCATGATGTGATTATCAAGTTCCAGTGATGCAGCTGGCCCTGTGCTGGAGGTGGTGGGGACATTAAGTCAAGTTAGACCCACCTCTGAGCTCAAGGAGCTCAGGCACAGGGGGACAGAGACCCAACATCAGACAAACTACAGGACAGTGTGTCAAGTGGGATGACAACAGGGGTGTAAGCACCATGTTTCATCAAGACAAGAGTGGAATAACTAACTGTTCCTAGGGACTCAAGAAAGGAGACATTGCCTCAGCAGAGAGTCTATGCCAAGAACTGATTCATCCTTAGCACATTACAGAACATCAAGACCCTGTTCTGAGTCACGAGAAACATCTTCTCTCCTCTACACTCTCTGCTAAAGCTCCTGAAAGGCCCACTTCCCCCGACTCCTATGATCTGGGGTTTGCCTGCGGGCAAGAGCATTTCTGTAAAAGGTAAAAACTGAGAATGTTCCTAGGTAAAAGCATATTAGATAACAAAATAATAGATCCCACCAAAATTGATTGAAGGGGGTTGCGGTGAGTTAGCTACACTCCCAGCAAACATAGGGTCCATTAGGCAGGGGTCATTGGAAAGGATAAGGAAATAATAGAATATAGAAATAAAAGAATGCACAGAGATGCAAGTACAGTTTTATAAAGTATAGAATTTATAAAAGATGGGGGACTGGGAGACCCCGGGCATTCCTGTGAGTGGTGAGGCATCAAATAAAGTTTCCCATCAGTATTTATTGGTACAGTGATGGGTTGCCAGGGGTAACAGATTTACATAATAACAGGTAATTAGTTTTAGGTTAAAAGTCTCCCAAAAAGCTTCTAGAGATCCCTTAATTAACTCTATCTACATGAGCAAACAGTTATAAAATCTTTCTAAGACAAACTTCTAAGTTCTAAGATAAAGATATCACTTAGCAAAAAGGTTAAACAGAAATATAGTGGCTCTATATTTCTTTATCTAGTTTTAGTGGATTGAGACAGGTAGTCATGAGTGAAGCAGGAACTGTGCCTTAGGCTAATTGCTTTCAGCCACAGGTGTCTGTCTGTCGTGCGGGCACTCTTTGATTAGTTCTCATCCCATGGCTCCATGAAAACCTGCTCTGTCGTACAAAACAGAGAAAACTGACAGGTCTGAGATAGCCAGCGTCACCATGGAAATCGCTGCTGATCTGTGACATGCCCCCCTGTGGCGAGGCAGCTTTTGATATGTGAAATAACACGTTCACATATTCCTTCAGGGCAAAGCCCTGAAAAACTCCTGAAATCATTTCTGTCTCTACAGGGCAACAATTCTATAGAGCAATATTAATCTATGGAGCAACAGGGGGTCCCATTATTGACTGAGCACATGTCCCCAATCTACATAGGACAGGCTCAGTGTACACCTGTTTTTCCTGCATAATTCAGAAATACGTCAGTTTAGACTTTAAATGACAGGATTGCTCTAAACAGAGCCTTTACAGGGCCCTCCCTCTTGAGATTGAAGACAGGAGAATCGGCGGGAAGGTTTAATATTTAGTATTCATGGTATCTTCAGTAAAATATGAAGGGATTGAAGTTCTCCCAAGTTGCCCTTTGTTAATCTTCTGTCCTGTCCCTGCCAGCCAACAGGTACCAAGCCACTTGACCTCCCACCATTCCATACCGTCTGTGCCCAAAACTTTGGGAGAATCATGTTTCTTCTTTCTAAGCTATGTAGTTTGTCTTCCAGAACATCCAAAGAACAATTAATTAGATTAATTACTCAAGGCTCTTGTATACAGGGGAGAAGACCCTTCCCCATTTCTGCTGCCCTGCCTTCTCCTGCAATCTGCCCCATTGGAGTTGTAACACCACACCATTGCTTCTGTCTGGTCACTGGAATAACTTAATAGTGGGAACATCAACTCTGTGGCAGGCAGCTAGTGGGTTTCATGACAGCTCATAACCCTAAGAGTGTGCTCCTACTTACTCTTTCAAGGTGACAGTCTTGCCTTTCTCTGCTTCCCGCCTCAGGTTTCTCACCAACACATCTGCATACTGGCTCATGATGGGGAACATCTAAGCACAAAACACAACACCACACATAGTTAAATGTGTAGATCAAGTCCCAGAAGGACATGGCTTTCCCTAGCATGGAGTAGTAAGTGATATTTTATAATGAATTTTGTGATGCCTCTTCTGGACATAAAGATAAAAGGCCACTTTTAGGAAGCTTAACCTTAGTGGACTACCTCCTGGATAGGGACCATAATGTTACTTTCTCCCTGATCCCAGATTCATACATTCAGTTTCTAAGTAGAAGTCCTTGTATTTTCTTACCTCTTTCAGTTTTCCGCTGGTGAAGGTTGGAGACAGCAACGCTCGTATTCTCTTCCATTCTTCATCTTCAGATATAGAGACGGCACTTTTCATAAATCCCACTGGACCAAAAGGCTGGAGTTCAAATCAAAAACATTTTGTCTTTTATACATTTCGTAGATCTCCACAGAGATCTATGTGTTAAATAGACATCACTTGTTTAACAAATATTAAGTGACTGTCTCCCAGGTGGCAGGCCCCATGATAGGTGCTCAATGTATTATAGATTTATCCCAATGCCTACCCTCCTCTGAGCCTCTGTGTGTGTGTGTGTGTGTGTGTGTGTGTGTGTGTGCATGTGTGTGTGTGTCTGAGATCACAGAGCCACCTGGTGTGGTTTCTGGCCTCTACAAATGAGTCTCCTTTTAAATGCAAATGACCCCCTGGTGGGAACGTTTTCTTCTAGGGTAATAGAGGGGAGCAAAATATGTACCTCCTCCAGCAATGTGCAGAGAAAAAAGGGACTGTGACAGTTCACCAGGTGGCCTTGGCAGACAGTGGGTTTTGTGAGACTACTTCTATCTTTCCTTACAGCATAGCATGAACAACTTGAAAAAGGAATACCTTGAGGTAGTAATTTTTTAAAAATTGTAGATAATACACAAAAGATTATGAATCTATTTAGAAGAAATAATACAATTGCTTGAAAGTCCTTTTCTCTTAATTTTTTTTCACAGGGATAGAGGAAAAAGAAAGAGACGGTTCCATTTCCTAATTTGGGAATTTCTAGAAGACCTCTGGAAAAAGAAATAAAGTGGTAGGTGTCAATCCCCATGCTGTTCAGACTTACTGTACAGCTACTATAGTCAAGACAGTGTGGTACTGGATGAGGGATACACAGAGATCAATGGAAAAGAATAGAGAATGAGAAATAGACACACACAAAGAGGCCCAACTGATTTTTGACAAAGGTCCAAAAAGCAATTCAATGGAGGGAGGACAGCCTTTCCAAAATGGTGTTGGAACAATTGGGCAGTCATAGACCACAAGAAATGGACCTTGACCTAAACCTCATGCTTTATACAAAAATTTACAGAAAATGGATCATAGACATAACTGTAAAGCATACAACTATATAACCTTTAGAAAAAACAACAACAATATAGGATGGCTGGGGAAGAATTTTAAGACTTGACACCAAAAGCACCATCCATAAAACGAAAAGTTGATGAACTGGCCTACTCAAAGTTAAAAAAAGTTTGCTCTGATGCAGGGCCTGTTAGGAGAAAAAGACAAGATACACATCGTGACTGTAGAAAAACTGTAGGAGGGAGCCTCATTGGTGATAGAACAGTTCTGTGTCTTCATCATGCCAGTAGTTACAAAAATCTATGAATGTGATAAATTTGCATAGAGCTAGACACACACACACATCCACAAAAATGAGGACACATAACACTGACGAAATCTGAAAAAGCTCTGTGGATAATATCAGTGTCAATTTCCTGTAACTATAGTGATAGGAATATACTAGATTTATACTGAGGCAAAATGTTACCACTGAGGGAAACAGGATGAAGTGTACATGGAAACTCCTTGTTCCTTTTCTTGACAATTTCCTATGAATTTATCAGTATTTCAAAATAAAATTTTTTTTTACTTTTTTTTATTTCAGCATATTATGGGGGTACAGATGTTTAGGTTACGTATGTTGCCCTTGTCCCCCCCCAA